ATCATCATCATCATCATCATCATCATCATCATCATCATCATCATCATCATCATCATCATCATCATCTCATCTTCATCATCAGCATCAGCATCATCATCATCAGCATCATCATCATCATCATCATCATCATCAGCATCATCATCAGCAGCATCATCATCATCCTCAGCATCAGCATCAGCATCAGCATCAGCATCATCATCATCAGCAGTTGCAGCCGCATCGTCGTCAGCATCATCAGCATCAACAGCACCACCAACACCTCCACCACCACCACCACCACCACCATCATCATCATCATCAGCATCATCATCATCAACAGCCGCGTCAGCACATTCATCATCATCATCATCATCATCATCATCATCATCATCAGCATCCTCATCATCATCAGCATCGTCATCATCATCAGTACCATCAACAACATCAGCATCATCATCATCATCATCATCATCATCTGCCTCCTCGTCGTCCTCCTCCTCCTCCTCGTCCCCATCCTCATCGTCAGCCTTCTCCTCATCAGCATCATCAGCAGCAGCAACATCATCAGCATCACACGCATCAACATGCATCATCATAAGCAGCATCATCAGCAGCATCATCATCATCGTCATCAACATCACCATCACCGTCAGCATCATCGTCATCGTCATCATCAGCATCATGACATCATCATCAGCATCAGCATCATCGTCGTCACCACCATCACCATCATCATCAGCATCACCACCACCAACACAAGCAGCATCATCATCACCATCAGTATCAGCATCATTCGCATCGTCATCAGTATCAGCATCAGCATCGTCATCATCAGAATCATCGTCATCATAATCATCATCGACAGCATCATCATCAGCAACATCAGCAGCATCATCATCGTCGTCGTCATCAGCATCAGCATCGTCGGTCTCATCAGCATCATCGTCCTCGTCGTCGTCATCCTCGGCAGCATCATCAGCAGCATCATCAGCAGCAGCATCAGCATCAGAATAAGCATCCTCAGCATCAGCCGCATCATCATCGGCAACAGCATCACCAGCATCATCATCATCATCAGCAGCATCAGCATCAGCATCAGCATCAACATCATCATCCTCCTCATCACTATCAGCATCATCATCAGCATCGTCATCATCCTGAGCATCAGCATCATCATCATCATCATCATCATCATCATCAGCACCAGCATCAGCATAATCATCATCATCGTCGTCAGCATCATCACAATCAGCATCAACAACTTCTTCTCCTTCAGAATCATTATCAGCAGCAGCATCATCATCACGACTAGCACATTCGGCTGCAGCAGCCTCATCATCAGCAGCAGCATCATCAGCATCATCATCATCGGCAGCAGCATCATCAGCAGCATCAGCATCATCAGCATGACAAGCATAATCATTACCATCCGCATAATCAGCATCACCATCAGCAACAATATCATCATCGTCGTCATCGTCAACATCAGCAGCGTCATCAGCCTCATCATCAACATCAACATCGGTAACATCATAATCCAGCAGCCGCATCATCAGCATCATCACCATCAGTAGCAGCATCATAATCTCATAATCAGCACCACCATCGTCATCAGTATCATCATCAGTAGCAGCAGCAGCATCATCATCATCATCAGCATCATCACCATCATCATCAGCATCACCATCAGCCTCCTCAGGTGCGTCATCGCCATCGGCATCTGTGTTGTCACCGCCAGCTTTTCATCATAATGGTCATCATCATGAGCATCATCATCATCATCATCAGCATCATCAGCATCATCATCATCAGCATCATCATCATCATCATTATCATCATCATCATCATCATCATCATCATCATCATCATCATCATCATCATCATCCGCATCACAAATCACAGTCAGCAGTATAGCGACCTGCCTCGTCATCGTCATCAGCAGCAGCAGCATCAACCTCACCACCATCGTCATCATCATCACCACCATCATCAGCACCATCATCATCATCACCATCGTCATCACCACCATCGTCATCATCAACACCAGCAGTAGCATCAACAACAACAATGACAGCAGCAACAACAGCAGCAACAACAACAGCAACAACAACAACAGCGACACAACCAACAACAGCAGTAATGTAAAGAATGTTCGTTCCTGCCCGCTCGCGTGCCATTCACCACGTATATATCAAAACCTCGATACTCGCCGTCTTCGTCTTAGGTCGGACCCCCTTGGGGGTATAGATTTCTTACCTGCAACGTGTGTGTCGTGCAGCCCCTGCGGCAGGGGAAGAGAGGACGGATGAAAGGAACGGACGAAGGGGGAGGAACGAGGATGGAGCACGAGAGACAGTAGCAGGAGGGGGGCTAGGAACAGAAAACACGTGGCAGAACCAGACGGGCAGATCGGGCGGCTAGACCCTAACGGGCGGGTCGGGAAGGCGGGCCCAGGTGGCCAGGTCGAGCAGGCAGGTTGCCTTGCTAAAGCGTGCGTCCTGCATGAATCGCGAGGAAGTCTTAAGTGATAGCGCGATTTCCCAATAAATCGTTAGGAAATGCAAAGGGAGAGCGTGATTCCTGAATGTCGCGGGCGCGGCGCCCGAATAATTTGCGAGGAAGTCCCACGCCGGAGCGCGATTCCTGCATAAATTGTGAAGACATCCCGCGCGAGAGTGCGATTTGGTAATGGATCGTGAGGAAGTATCAGGCGGGAGCCGTTGTTGTTGTTGT